TATGGCGCCTGAATGGGGACTGAGTTCTGGGACCAGGAACTGAGTTATGAGGAACAGGGCCTGAGTTTGGGGAGACTACAATTGTTATGTGAAAGGAGACTCCAAGGCATGCACGCGGAGAAAGGAAGGTAGGGAGCTGAGGTGTGGTAATAGCTCGGTCTAAAACTTGGGAAAGTCAGGATCCTAGGAAGGGATTCCTAAAAACAATGCTTATTGAAGCATTTTTATAAAATTAAAAACAGATCTGTAAAGCATAATTGTCATTTAAAGAAAATAAGCAGAAAATAAGTGGTAGACGTTAGAAAATAGGCGGAAAGAAATAAGCAATAGAAAGTAAGTGCTAGACGTTAGAAAATAAGCGGTAGGAAATAAGTGGTAGAAATAAGCAGTAGAAACAGAAATAAGCCGTAGAAAATAAGAAGTAAATAGGAGATACAAAATAAGGTAGAAATCTCCTAGGTTCTGTTTAAGCCAGCAGTTCTCAACCTGTGTAGGTCGCGACCCCTTTGACAGTAGAATGACCCTTTTACAGCGGTCGCCTAAGACCATCCTGCATATCAGATACTTACATTATGATTCATAACAGTAGCAACATGACAGTTATGAAGCAGCAACGAAAATAATTTTATGGTTGGGTCACAACATGAGGAACTGTATTTAAAGGGCCAGAAGGTTGAGAACCACTGGTTTAAGCCACTGTAAAGCAACAAATGGCTGTGGTTGATGTTTGAGGAAGTAACTTTTATTTCTGACCTAGATTGTAAGCTCTTGCAGCAGTTGCATTGTTTCTGGGCTTTGGTTTATTTCTTTCTTGTGCGACCTGATAGCTCCCTGGGACTTTGGGTCTGTGTGAGATGCCAGACTCAGAGTTGGAGGTCTCCAGCCCTGCAGGCCCCAGGGGTGCTCTCTTACTCCATGCAGCAGCGGCTGAAGGGACCAAATTTCCACCTGTGTGGACGAGGCTGATTTCACTGGGACTGGTGCCGACTCAGAACCAAGGCCAACCTTCCAAACAGCCTAATCCAGGGGGCCAGTTTTGCATCAACAACATCTTTGCATCACTGGCATCTTACTACGTAAGTGGCCGAGGTATCAACATGGAGTCAGCTGAAGAAGATGGCGACTGAGGCCAAGCATATGTTAGCAAAGCAAGTGGAAGCTATGCTAGTGTTGGTGAACTGTCAGTTTTCTGTAAAATCTTGCGGAGCTAAATCTAAGGACTCTGAGTAAGAAATCCTGAAAACGTTAACATGTTTGTAGTTTTGTTTTTGCATTGGTATTGCTTTGTTAATAGCCAGAAGTCTGTTTTGATGTTGCTGAATAATTTGTTTAGAGTTTTTTATAATGTAAATAGATGTGTTTAAAAACAAAAGAAAAGGGGGATACAGTGTTTTGGACAGGTTCAAGCCTTGGACTGAGGAGAGCACACAGTCCTCTCATTGCCACGTGCAAGTCCCATCTTGGAGGGCAGAGCCCTCCCAGCACGATTATAGCCAACAGCTATAGTTGTAAGCTTGAACCTATAGTCTGAACACGTGGCCCCATGTGTCTGAGTGATGTGGGCTTTAGATAGAGTTCAGGTACATGTAGCTGAGTAGCATTGAAACTCAAGAGAATGTTGTAAACAACTTGATTACACCCTTACTTTGCCCCGTGGCATCTGCTATAAAATAAAGACACAGCTTGTGGGCGTTGGCGCTGTCTCTCCATCAGAGGAGCAGCATCCCACTGAGACCCAGCTTTCATTCTCTTGTCTGTCTTTTCTAAGCCTTCCAGCCACTTGGGTCACTGAACCAGGCTGAGCTGGCATGGCACGTAAGGCGTCCTGTGGCTGAGTATGCCATGGCCGTGCCAGCTCGCCACACTGGCAAGGATGTGGAGAAAAGTTAACCCTACTACACTGCTGGTGGGAATGCAGACTGGTATAGCTACTATGGAAAACAGTATGGAGTTTCCTCAAAAAAAAAAAAATGGAACTGCCCTTTGACCCAACGATCACAATTCTGAGAATATAGCCTAAGAATCCTGAAACACCAATCAGAAAGAATATATGCATCCATATTTCATAGCAGTGTTTTTTATAAAAGTTAAGATCTCAAAACAGCCCAAGTGCCCATCAGTAGATGAGTGGATACAAAACGCTGTGGTACATCTACACAATGGGATACTATGTGGCTATCTGAATTTCCTTGTGCATTACCAGGATATAGAAATGTGCTTGATTTTTTTGTGTGTTGACCTTGTGTTCTGTGACCTTGCTGAACAAAAATATTAGTTCTAGGAGGGTTTTTTGTGTATTCTTTGAGATTTTCTACACATATAATTATGCCATCTCCAAAAAAAGGTCAATTTCATTTCCTCCTTTGCAATCTGTATTCTATTTCTTTTTCTTGTCTAATTGCAACTTCTAGTATAATGTTAATAGGACTGATGAGAGTAGACAGCCTTGCGTTGTTCCTAATCTTATGGGAAAGTATTCAGTCTTTCACCATTAAATATGATGTTACATGAAAATTTTTGGTGACAGCCTTTATCAGGTTGAGGAAGTCTCTATTTTTAGTTTGTTGATCATTTTTGTCATGGATGAATGCTGAATTTTGTCAAGTGGTTTTACTGAATCAATTAATAAGTGATATTTCTTCTTTAAACTGTAAATATGGTTGGTATCTTAGACATTTTGAATATGACATTATGAAATTGCTTACATAAATTGTATAGAAAACATTTACATTTTTACTTTAGCGATCAATCTGATTTTCAGGCCACAGATTCTCACCAGCTTTCTGTGGGCTGAAGGCTCAATGTCAGTTCAGTTTTTAAAGCCTTTGCAGTATTTGTTAGGTCTATCTGGTGTGTGTGTGTGTGTGTGTGTGTGTGACTAAGCGGTTAGTCTGGAACCAGATGTGCTATGTAATTTCCAGGACCTCTAAATAATAAATCTTAACTCTTTCAAAATTTCCTATTGGTTATTGCTGAGAGTGTCTCTCGATCATAATAAGAAACACAAAGGTCAGTCCAGCCACAACATTGGTTATTGATAGGCTGAGACTGGTACAAAACACATGATTAGAATATTTAATATGGTTAAGATGGCAATGATCTCCAAATTGATCTATAAATTCAATGCAATCTCTTTCAAAATCCTAGCTTTCTTTTCAGAAATTGACAAGCTGATGCTAAAAAAAAAAAAAAAAAATTAACATAGAAATGTGAGGGACCCAGAATAACCAAAACAATCTTGAAAAGGAGGAAGTTGGAGAACGTACATTTCCTGATTTCAAAATTGAGTACAAAGCTACAGTAATCAAAGTGGTGTGTTACAGGCATAAGGATAAGTATATGGGTAAATGGGATACAATTGAAAGTCCAGAAATGAGCTCTCAAATTTACAGTCAATTAATTTTCAATAAGGGCACTAAGATCTTTTTCAACAAATGGTGGTGGGGCAACTGGATATCTATCTACATACAAGAAATTGAAGTTGGACCACTATGTCACACCATATATAAAAATTAATTCAAAATAGATTTAAGGCCAAAATGTAAGAGCTAAACGTATAAAACTACTAGACAAAAAAAAATGGGAGTAAATCTTCATGACCTTGGATTAGAACTGTTCTGATTAGACCAATCAGAACAGTTGCCAGCTCTAGTGGTCTTCTGCTGTGACAGACATTTCTTGTTTCAGTGGCTAGATTGTGGGGCAGACCCAGAGGTCCTAGAGGCAGTGTTTCTCTATCAACTGGAACAGGATGTTCAAATCCTCTGTGAACAAATGAGATAGCTGTTCCAGTACACATCACCCCAAAGACTAGATATAGATAGATATAGATAGATAGATAGATAGATAGATAGATAGATAGATAGATAGATAAATAGAGATAGATCGATCTCACCTGAGGATATGTATTGATTTTTAGAGAGAAACATTGATTCATTGCTTCCCATTGCACCCTGACTGGGGATCAAATCCATAACCAAGGTACATGCCCCAATCAGGAATCAACCCACAACCTTTTGTTATATGGGACAACGTTCCAACCGACCGAGCCACCTGGCCAGAACAGAAATTTCTCCTCTTGACAGAAGATAAAGGCCATAAGATTTCAGCATGTCACTCCAAGCAGTTTTTTTTAATTTGATTTAAACTCTAGAAAACTGCCGAACTATGAAAATAGGGCTGTCTTTGGGTGAAACTCCTGATCCCTGCCTTTTCATCGTCTAGGAAGAAGGAAAGAAAACAAACAACATAAGATATGGACCAAAGGGTATTGGTCCAGATCTGAACACTGAGGCCTGTCTGTCAAGTAAAGTTCTCCTTCCTTAGACTGGGCACTACCACCCAACCCCAGCACCACTCCAATGATCCTCCTTCTACAGGAACATCCATCAATTCACACCTAAATCAACTCAATTCCTACACCCCTGAAGTGACAGACTCCAACAGAGGAAGAAATTGTATAAGCTAGACTCTGAGGCACAATCTTTACTAGACGGGGATGGGGGGGGATCCTTGGGCTATGCAATAGTATATAGAGAACAGACTGACAGCTGTCAGAGGGAAGGGGGTTGGGGACTGGGTAAGAAAGGTGAAGGGATTAAGCAAAGGAAATAAAGAAACTCATGGACACAGACAACAGTATGGTGTTTGCCAAATGGGGGGATGGGGAGAGGTAGAAAAGGGTAAATGGGGGATAAATGGTGATGGAAGGAGACTTGACTTGGTGTGGTAAACACACAATACAATATACAGATGATGTATTGTAGAATTGTATACCTGAAACCTATAGAATTTTATTAACCAATATTGCCCTAATAAATTCAATTCAATTTTTATTTTTTTTATATAAAAAAGGGGAGGTGAGCCATTTTAGCAACAAATATTAATTTTTTATTATATTTCTAAATAAATACTACAATACTTTTTTCTCTTACATAAAAAAACTTAAACACTTAAACATTTATAACATTCAGTTTTGGAAAAGACAAACAGGGTAAAAATGAAGAAAAGTGATCAAAAAAATTTTTCAAAGACAGAATAAATATAGCCTGGTTTATATGCTGCCAGAGTTCTAGGCCCTCATTTCAGAATTAGCGGGAGTAAAAAATTTCCTCCAGCTTCAACTTGTCCAAGGGGGGGATTTTGGTGACTTCATAAAAGTTCCTGCAAAAGGAAGAGACATCTGCTCAGTATAAAATAGCCAAAGCAAGCAGGCTTCATGGAATAAGTGGGAGATAGGGCCCTTGGTCCCCCATCTTGCTTTAACCCAGGAGCAGAAAGTAAGGTAAAAAGTACCTCAATCTTTCTTTTTCCTGAGGCAAGGATAGTCTGGGCCTCCCCATGACTGAGCACAAACCCAACTTCATCTGGAGCTTGGTACTTACGGGTGAGAATACTTGAAACACACAGTCTTGAGCCTATCATTGCAAGGATACAAAGTCAGCAGCGTGTTAAGTTTTTTGACCAAGAGGTAAAGATCAGAGATCACGAAGTCAAAGTGATAATTCAGGAAATAAGTCTGAAAGAAGCAACATAAACAGTGACTTTTATGACAGGAAGCAGACCCTTCCTCTGTGTCTACTATCCCAAATCCAAACTTCCTATCCATGGTATAGAAAGGGAAGAGAGTGAAAGACTCATACGTCATAGACACTGACCAATTATTACAGGAGAATAGGTCCCAGCCACAAACTAGTGGTATGGTTATATTCATATGTACCAGTTGGATATTAGCCCTGGCCATAGATATCCAGGTATGCTGAAATCCACTACCAAAAAAAATCCAAGGAACATGACTGACGTTGTAATTTACTCATTTTCAGATCAAGAGCCAATGGACAGGCAAACCTCAGAACAAACTTGAGGTCCCAACTCAACAGCCAACAGAAACTTATGGCTGTTCCTTGTCTCTGGATCTACCAGCTGTCATTCCATGCATTCATTTTCTCATTCAATTTGAAGGATGCCTACTATGTGGCAGAAGCAATATGGCAACATATTTAAGAGCAAATGCTCTGGAGGCAAACTACTGGGGTTCAAAATCTATTTTAACTAATAGTCTGGCCTTAAATTGGTTATTTAACCTCTTGGTACCTCATTTTACCAATGGGGATCATTATAGTAATTACATTGCATGATTAAATGAGTTAATATATATAAAGCACATGTAACAGTCTAGCATATAGTAAGTGCCTAAATAATGCTACCTAGGATTAATATTATTAGACAGGCATGCACAGAGAGAATTACAAAATGTGTGGAAAGTGCTATGATGGAAGTGAACATAGGGTGCTGGAGGCAAAGGGCAACAAGACCCATGAACTCTGGCTAGGAGAGTAACAGAAAGCTTCATAGAGGAGGGGACATCTATAATGTGCTGAAAGTCAAGTAGGAGTTCCACAGGTAGAGAAAGGAAGATTTATTCTATAATACAGTGATTTTCTAAAAATATCTTAAATTAGCCCGGCTGGCATGTCTCAGTGGTTGAGCCTCAACCTGTGAACTGGGGGGTCATGGTTCGATTCCCAGTTGGGGCACATGCCTGGGTTGAGGGCTTGATCCCCAGTGTGGGGCATGCTGGAGGCAGCTTATCAATGATTCTCTCTCTCATCATTGATGTTTCTACCTATCCCTTTCCCTTCCTCTCTGAAAGTAATAAAAATTTTTTTAAAAAAATAAAAGTATCTTAAATTATTTCCCCAAACCCCCTTTTAAAAAATATCTTACCTGGAAGCCCAAACATTTTACCTGGAATTGGAGGCAAAGGCTAAGAAGCCCACTAATTTGAATCCCCTTATCTTTATATGGCCCCGGAGACACTTCTACAGGAATCCCAGGGCTCTACTGAATACTGTTTGAAAACCACTGCCACAGGCAAAGGGCAGTCATTAGCATGCGGAAATATAAGTAACATTATATTTAGTGTGTTAAATAAGATTAGTGGCCCCATTGTCACTGTACCAGTTCAGGCCCAAAAGCTTCACCTTGACTATTACAAAAGCTGACTTGCCAGTGTTGCCACTCTTACACTATCACCTGGTATACCTTCTATACTGCTCTACCAGTACTATTTCCAAAACACAAACAGGAACACCCCTGCCTCAAAAACTTCCAGTACCTTAGTATAGAATGGATCTCTCAACATGGTATCAAAGGTCTTTTATAATCTGAACACATCCTAACATTCTGGTCTCATCTCTTACCATTCCCTATTCATAAAGCCTTTGCTCTATCCACAGGAAATGTATTATTCTGCCCCCTATACATTACACCCTTTAATTGTTGCCTTCACGTCTTTTCAATTATTGTCACTCTACCTAGAATGTCTCCTCTCAAGGGTTCCTTTCAAGAGTCAATTCAAAAGTCACCTTCTTTGTGAAACCTTTCTTACCTATAGAAGCAGGATATATAGCATAGAGGATTGTGGAATCCAGACTACCAGGATTCAGATCAGGGTTGACATTTAGCTGATACTCACCGATACAAGCATGCCATGTGTTTAAACACTGAAATATTTCTATACTGGTTGGCAAGAAATTTGTTGCCCTGAGCCACTCAATTGCCCCTCTCAAGTACCTACCAGATTTACCAAGGATCCATGGGTCAGAGCCTGGCTTGGAATGGGGCCTCCAGGACCATGGCTCGAGCTATGGCCACACCCATTCTGAGTATGCAGTACTGGTTGTACACCACTCCTAGTTCTGCCTCTCCCTAGCAAAACATGGGAATGTATTTCTTATCTATAAAATAGGGATACTACTGATCTTGTGGGGTTATTGTAAAGATTAAATGAGTTCATACAAAGTGCTTAGATCACCAAGCACTCAACTTATATAAACACAATTGTTTATATAGTTCTTTCTCAGTACACAGAGGCTTTCCCATCAGTAGTGGCTCTGGGATTTCTAAGTTGGAGGGGCTCAGGGATGGTTGGGAAGAGCATGCACATTTGTTAGCATACTTACTCTTTCTATTTGGATTGTACGTTACGTATCAGTAAAAATTCAGTTCTCTGAAGTTGATTTTCATAATTTTTCATAAAATTTAGAAAGCATCAAACATGAGTTTTATTTCTATTAGGGAAGGAGGCTCTGGGGCCTTCCTCTTTAGAAAAGAACAACACTGTAGTATACCTGTAAGTCCCCTATTACACATGGACAGTTGCTTTCACTACTCTGCTCTCTGGGTCAGTGCTTCAAATTCCATTCTAACAAGCTCCCTCAGGGGGTAACCTTGCTGAAGGGACTACAAGGGGCAGAAGTGAAATGGGGTCAGGTAGGAAGTGGGCCCACCCCAGCCCTGCTGCAACCAGAATAATTTCACATTAGTTTGTTTTGTGATATCGGGCTTTCAGATAAGCTTTCCTTGGAACAAGGCGTACTGTGACTAAGAAAAATGGTACCAAATACTTCACAACAATTGCTAGAGAAACACTTTAGGCAGCCAGGACCCTAATGTTGAGGTGTCAAAGAATTCATAACTGTGGGTATATGGCAGTTTTGGCACTGAATGTCCCACAGCCTTAATTTACACCTTCCTTCTCAGCCAACCCTGTGCTTCTAAATCCCAACCCCATGCCCCTAGCCAGTGTTTACCAAGTTTCCAAGCTTCGTCATGTGGAGGGCCAAAATAAAGGAAGCAGCAGCTAGATTGGAACCCTTTTCCTGGATGAAGTCATATTCATGCAGGGTCAACTCACAGATGAATCGAGATAAGACCACTGTTCTAATGTTGACATGAATATTCTAAAGAGAGCAAAAAGACCATTTCAGCAAGCAATGTAGAAAACCAGAACTAAGCAGAAGACCCCCTTCACCTACTCTCTTCAGTTATCTCACCTCAGGCCTAATGGCTCTCTGCCTGAACAATGTACTTCTCCTACCATCATGGTTCACACTAAGGCACTCTACCCTTGAAAGCACAGAATCTTAAGCAGGGGGAAGGGAGGCAATTCTGAAATCAGCATTAGAATTCACTACCTTCATGGTTTGTGACCAAATTACCAAATGTATTTTCATCTACTCTTTATGTACAAGTCATCGTTTGAAGGGCCAAAGCTTTCCAACTATAACTTTGCACCTGGTTCCACCCTAGGATGTGTTCCATGCTCCATAAGAACTCTCTCCCCTTTCTTGTTTGTATCTTTTTTTTTATTATAACCTATAACACATACAGAGAGAGAGAGAGAAAGAGAGAGAGAAGGTACACTTGTACAATTCAATGAATAATTATGAAGTGACCTCCCCTGTAACCAATATTCAGGTGAAGAAAGAGAACTTTGCAGCGTCTCCCCCAAAGTTCTTGTGTCCTTTCCTCATAAAAGAATTTTCTCTCCTTCCCCTACTCTGCCCTCACCTCAAAACTTTACAGGCATACTATACAAACCTCCAATTTTCTTCCTCCTACACTTCATAAAGATTGCTAATCTAGGAGAGTCAGATTGAAGAAGAAATTCCTCTGTCCCCACTTGTCTCTTTCC